TACGCCTGAACTAAACTTTTTTTCTTTCTTTTTTTAGCTGCCATTTTTCACACCAACATGAAATCTGTATTTACACAGTTTTATGGTTAAAATGTAAAAGTCATGTCGTCTTTTTTTGTATACAGATTACTGTGCTCTTGCTAAATCCATGAATGGCTGTGTTTACAGTGTGAGGATTTGGAGGAACTGGGTGGATTTTCTGGCTTTTGCCTGTAGTCTTATTCAGCCTCAACTCAAATTACACAGAACATAAATTACGCGCAGCTAATAAGTGAAGTCACTGTTCTCCTTTTCAGAGCTGAGTCCACAGACTTTAAATAAATGTTCCAGTCATGGTTTTGAGTGTAACAGCCCAGAATAATGGCCTTTTCTTGCCAGATGTTCTTCTTTAGATGAGTTCACAGGCATCTGCAGCATTTACCAGCACACACACACACACACACACAAGCAAATAAAGGTAGAGGTCATTTAGTCGTAGGTGCACCACCAACGCTCGATCCTCTGATGGTAACAGTAATCAATAGGCGCCCTTGCTTAAGGTCATCTGGTCATGGATGGACAGGTTCTGTCAGGGGGACTCAGTAAATGGCATTAAAGAAAGAAAGAGTGAAAAGAGAAACATCACAGCTGCTGAATGTGGTTTCATTTACCACAACACGATAAGCCAGTTTATCATTTAAAATACAAAAGCCTAAGTTACCTCAAACGAATTAGCACCTTCAGTCTTGAATTTCTCGATGGCTCTTCATGGTGTTTTGGAAAACAGTATCTCAACAGTCAGTCACTGTCTTTAAGTTCAGGCACCTCGGGGTGTTGTTCACAAGTGATGGGAAGATGGAGTGTGACATTGACGGGCAGGCTGGTGCTGCGCCTGCAGGAATGCAGACGCTGCACTCGACTGTTGTGGTGGAGAGGGAGCTGATTTTATGGCAAGGCTTTTTCAATTTAATGTTCCAGCTCTCACTTATGGTCAAGAACAAATAGTTTTCACAAAGCGGTTAACTCAGGACTACATTGGAATTTAAGCAATCACACTATTGCTTTGATAGAGGTTATCAAGGAGATTTTTTACTCGAGTCACAGTGTGGTTGGAGACTAGAGTAACAGGACACACAAAATGCACTTTCCCAGCATTCTTCTGTGCAACAAAATTATCGCCATCATAACTCCTAGCTCCCATCAATGCTAAAATCCCATTGGACATGTTTTCGTACAGGTCAGTGCATACAGGTTCAAACTGCGTGAGAGCTAGCATCTCTCTCCTTGGAAACAAAAGGCCTTGCTCTGTCTTGTGATAAACTTGCACTTTTGATATGGATGTGTTAGCAAGAAGTTGAGCAGCCCAGAAATCCGTAGGGAGCTTGTAGTAAAGTTGCTGCTCTTTCGCAATGAAAGGAACCATCTGAGGAGGATGTGGCGTCTGATCAGGATGCCTCCCTGCAGAGGTCCTCCAGCCATGTCCAAGTGGAAGGAGACCCCAGGGACGGCCACAGAAAGGACTGCATATATCCCGTGTGGCCTGGCAACATCTCAGGAAGAGATGGAAGATGTGGCTCAGAGAGGGACATATGGGTTAATTTGCCTAGCCGACTGCTGCTGCAGCTGGGAGAGAAAAGGCGGTCGGGCGCGGATGCAGTCTCTTGTTTTCCGAGGGTAAAGAAATTTTGGGCTTCGTGGTTTTAAGTCTGAGAGGTAGAGTCATAGGGCTGTGTCTGTTTTGGCCGTTGGTTGTGTATTTTTGTTGCTGATTCAGAGCAGGCCTAAACATAATCAAAACAGCAGTACAATGAGTGTACAGCCTGACCCTGACTCACTGTTTGTTTAAACCTTATTTTTTGGGGTGTCAAATATGCTAACGTACTTATGTTTCTCTTAACTCTTTATTAGCAAGGTATTTGGGGTGTTTGTATTTGTGGAAAATCTGATATTCCATTAGCAGATTTTAATTTTACTCTCAAATACCATCATGCTGCTCAGCAGCACTGCAGAAAAACAAGGCATTTGTCATCATTTCGTATATGATTTTGTCACACATTGTCAGAACAAATCCTCACGGCTTTACCTGACTGCAGACGTCCATTCATCTTCCACCTGCTCCTGTTCATTACTCTACAGATGCATTCAAAACATGCAGCGAGTTTCACGAAAAGTGCTGCAAATTTCATAGTTGGAGTCAGTCAACTGTAAGAGGAGAGTATTACAACAAGTATAAATGTGCCTCAAACCCATTTCAAAGGTTAATGGATTGGATGCTCACAAACACACACCGAAATACTAAAGGAAAAAAAAACCCAACAGTGCATACATTTACACACATTTCAGGCATTTAGCTGAAGTGTCTGCAACTGTGAAATAAAGCTCAAATCTCCCGGGTACCATTCGATACCTCGGCTTGAATAAATAGACATTTTTCTCCAGAAGCTCTGTGGGATTCTTCTAATGTAAGGGATGTTTGTACTTCTTTCACCACAGGTCATAACAGAAACATACCTGCTGCTCCTTTTTTCTTTTCTTTTTTAACCTTTGGCAGAAGTGAACCCCACGACAATGTAACTCCGAGCAGGTTTGTGGCGCCGGCCCCCCGACACCTCCGCTGGGGTAAATAAGGACCATATATGATGGCTCACAAAAATAGCATGACATAATTCACTATTGATTTGCTCTCCTGGCTGGCTGATCTTCATTTTGTGACACTGGAGTGCGGAGAACTCAGAGGCATTGGCATCGATCAGGTGGTGCCGCCAAAGCAAAATTTCATTTTCGCAAATGTGGCAGCAGTCCTCTGTATTCCATACACCGACATGTGGTGGTGTTTTTTTTAGAGTCAAATATATCGATCCACTGTCGTCTTCTTTTTTTTTTTCCTAAAAATATCAGACAGTTCTTTCAGAGCACAGCAGCTATTTGTGTAACATGTTAATGTGACCTCATGTCTTGACAGTGGATTAGAGGTCTGATGATTTTGCAGAGCTGTCACTGTCAACAATATAGATTGCATTAGTTTGATATGTGCATGCATGAGATGGAATATAATCACTTTTGTCCTTGTGGCTTTTAAATAGAAAGAACTACTTTCCTCTGGTGTGGAAAGTCAAGTCTGATCCATTGAGTCTGATCTCAGTTTAGACTGGTCTGCTGCTTATTTCACTTGTGTTGGTCTTAATTCATTTTTTCTACAAATATAAATGGGTAATTCTGTGACATTTTCCTTTTTTTTTTACTTTAGTTCTTGTGTATAACGGTGTACGCTGTGTGATCGAATCCTCCTTCTTATTTAACTTCTTTTTGTTTTACATTTATAAAGAGATGCAGTTTTTATTTCCTTCTTTTGTCTTTATCATGAATAGAACTGGAGTATTTTGGTCAGGCCAGGTGATAAAACAAGAAATCCATTCCTGATATTTTCTTCATGTCAGTCAATAGTGATCGAGACTGTTCTCCTGTGAAAAAAAACGAGCCCATAGGTCGTTTGTGCAGCAGGTTATTATGACCCATAGTTACGTTTTGTTGTTAGGCGACATCTAGTGGCCGTAGTAATTATGACAGGTTGTGGTGGATCGATGAGACGCCATCCTTGTCAAAATAAATCCTTATAAACACAACAGTGTGCATGGGTTATTTACAGCCTCTCAGTTACATTCATTAGTTAAAATTCCTAATTGTTGCCATGAAAAACGAGCAGCAGCATTCATCATATGTCGCAGTACGACGCTGACAAAAAAACGTAGATCGGTACGTTTAGTTTCAGGGTGTTTTCTCTGAGGGCCAGCAGATGGTAATAACTGCTGGTGTTTGAGGCTGTGCTCTCTTGCACGCTGCATACATTACTGCATGGCGATGCATCAGGTGATAAAACAGGTTGTGGTATTTCCTGTCTTAATTGAGACAAGCTTTGGAAGCGTTATCTTCGTACATCACCGCTCTGGTTGGTGACAGATGTCTCGTTCAGTTAAAATCACTGAGTCGCAGTCGAGTCGTTTATCCACAACAACTCTGCGTGTTTGAGGTTGTTGTGACTTGAGCTGTCGTTTCCTCAGCTGACAGCCGAGGGCTCGTCTGTCCCGTCGATCAGACTTTTGATACCACGACAACTTCCTCAAGAACTGCCAAAAACAAAATTCACAAAACACAAGCAAACATAGAAATGTGCAGCAGTTCACACAATGGAAGTTAGTTACAAAACATGAAACACTGAATATTATTGCTATGGCCCAGCTCTACTTCTAATCTTCTTCATTTGTTCTCAAACTCTTTGAACCAAGTTTTAAAAATGGCTTAAACTTAAATGTAGGGCCGGGAGATGCGGCCAAAAGTGTTATCACCAATAATGTTATCATCGATAATTATTCATCATCTTTAGTGACCTGTTTTTCGTAAAGACCAGGGGAAAAGTCAAACAGTGTTGTTGCTGAGAACCTCTGCATCGTGGACTACCATTGGTTGTAATCCAAAGGATGGAAGCAGCTGAGGTCGAAACCAATGACCTTTCCTCACCGTCTTCACCTGCTGCACCTCTGTTGTTGTTGATGCAACCAAACAACACACCTGTGAAATGATTGGCTGTTTATGAGCCAGGGAGGGAGCAACCTTGACGTTTGTTCATGCAACTGTGAAAGTATCAGACCTTCTATCAAACAGTATTTTTTATTGCTATTGATGAAGTGTCTCGTCAAATGTTCCCTCACACACACAGGCTTCAGCAGCATGTGGAAATGAACAGAATATCTGACTTTATCTCAACCCGACTCTCACATAAACCCCTCTGTGATTCAGCTACAGCAATTTTAGTGTTTGCTTGTTTTCTCTCCTAACTGTCACAACACTTTCAGCTCACTGCTTCTTTTTTTGTGCCAATATTTACTCTTGAATCTTTAGATAAAACAAATAAAGTAGAAAAGATTCTCTAAAGTCTGGAGGAAACAAACATGTTCAGCCAGCTGTTGCTATAGCGCTGGATGAAGCCATATGACTCAAAACAAACGATGTATTTCTCTCTGCAGATGGCGTCCTCCCCGGTGCTGTTCCACTACCGCTCTCCCCTGTGCTCAGACTGGCACAACCCTTGGCAACCCCTACAATGCCGACGCCGGTGCCTGCGGCCTCGCCGATAGTCCCGAGCAGCACGGCAGCCACAGCCCCAGAGACTACCTCAGCTGCCGGAGGGGACGAGAGGCAACCAAAGCTCAACGCACCCTCAGAACCAGACCTGGAGCCCGAGGCCGAACCCGAGGCGGAGACGGACGCGGAAACAGAGGAGGAGAAAGCTCGGCGTCTTTTGTACTGCTCGCTCTGCAAGGTGGCGGTCAACTCTGCGTCACAGCTGGAGGCCCACAACAGCGGTAAGAGGCAAATGTGAACATCAGTGGAGTATTTGTAGTAATTATGACAGAGATATTTAGTGTACTGTAGATGGGAGGCGTTTACCTGCTGGGCTCCTACAGGTGTTTTTCTCATCAAGCACCTCGACTTTAACACGATTATTCCGTTCAGCTTGGTGCAGTTTCCATGAGAAATGCACCAGCATCACTGGTTCTGAAATGGTTCTGTGAGTCGATGCTTTTTGTGAAGAAGGTTGTTATCTGCTGAGTCTCTACACAATCACCCAGTTGAGTTATTTTGGGTCTTAATACATCATCGTCAGGCCTGAAAGTGGTTTCAAAAGGAACCTCGTATCCAACTTTGATCAGGTACTGTGCGACATCCTTGCTTTCAAAAACAAAGAATATATCCTGAATCACTGTGTCTGACAAATTTCTAATACCGTTTACACACAGACACACACACACACACACACACACACAACACGCTGAGCCATCTGTGTGTTCAGTCAGAGCTCCATGCAGGAAATGTCCCACTGCTTTCCCTGACAACTATTTTATTGAAAGTTTGAGCAAGAGAACAGAGTCAGAGGAAACATGATGGACAGAAACACCCATACAACAAGCTGTTGTCGTATTAATTGTGCAGCATGTCCATAGTCGGGTCTTGATCAAATATCAATCAATCACACAGGTGCCGTGTGTGATGCCTTATTCACTGAACACGCTGAACGTACTGAACGTATCCGTTTGCGACTAATAAAGGTGAACGTGAGCGTCGTTTACTCTGGTGAGAGTCGACAACAACGACTTAGACACCAGGACGTAGCAGTAGTGAACCGAAAAGCTTTTTGCCAACTGCCAAAACAATCACCAGAAGAATAAAAACCGTTATTTTGGTTTTTACGGCTGCATGCAATGGTTTCGAGCGCCCGGCGTGTGTCGGGTGCAGTGTTCAGTGCTGGTGATACAAACACAGCTGAAGGGCTGAAGTCAGTTCGTATGAACATTTGAAAGGCTTTTATGAACAAATCTGTTCAGATTCCAATGGAAAAAATGTCACAGCTGAGTTTGAATAAACAGCCACATCAGTGACCAGTTTGAAAAACGACACATCGAGTTGAAGCATCTGACCAGTCTTTTGAAATATCTGCGAGTGAATGATGATAAGAAATCATTAAGAGAGGGACCTGGAGCTGCAAAGTTCCTCCACCTGAGTCAAACTCACAGCATACACACATAAAACATATACTGACTGTTGGTTTTTCTTAACTTTTAAAAGTAATCTCTGTCTGTGACTCTATAGTCAAAAGGAATTCATGTAGTTTGAGAAAGGGCAGTGATTTGAGGCTGGGATGGACGGGTAGTGGGAGGTAAGAAATGAACGTCAAGTAGTTTATTTCTTTGGACCGTGAACTTGGTTCAAATTCAAAATTGTGCAGTATGAATGTGAACTAGTTCATTTTAACCTCTGTGAACTGAACTTTGAGCTAGCTCTCGTGAAGTGTGAACTTGCACAACGTTGCTTATAAAATCATAACCCATAACTTAACTTATAACACAGCTCCAGCAAAGACGGACTGGTCGTCTGAAAGTCGCTAGATCCAGGGCAGCCGAGTCCCCTGCAGACCAGCGTGTGTTTTTGAAATCTTCATTATCGACAGTGTTAAAGTTTTTTCAGTCAGATGCCAAATAATCCATCTGTAGAATTGCTTCAAAATTCACAAAAGGCAAAGCATCAGGCCCGGGGAGTAAGCTGCAGAATCCCGCTGTGCAACCTGTGGTGTTGACAGCTGACTGTGCTATAACTGGCTCATTAATATACCAGTATGGGTCACTGGTTCCATCCTTGAGTCTCTGCTGTAGTGGTTATTTTTCCCTGGAATTACATCATGAATTATTTGTAGCCTTTTAAGCCTATTTGTTGTGTTTGTCCTGTAATAAGATATTGTTTATTTCCCCTGATGTTTCATGATTGTGTGAGGAGGGTCACGGATTGTTTTCACTGGTCTGAGTCAAAAGTCAAGGATTGTTCTTAATTCCCAGTCCGTCCTTTCACTCCAGACACGACACAACTCAGGACAACTGTGTAACTTTTGCACCAGTTCAACAAGGTATTTGATCAGGATCGTTTTATTAGGCTAATTTCTCATATTTCCCAGATCAGAAAAGCCTCTGAGCTCTGATCTCACTTTTCACTCAGGCAGCATGTGTGGGTTAAGTTCAAACGCTAACCAGGCCGCTCCTCTTGTTTGAACCTGCAGGTACGAAGCACAAGACGATGCTCGAGGCCAGGAGCGGCGTGGGCTCCATCAAGTCCTTCCCCCGGCCGGGAGTCAAAAGCAAACTGGCAACGTCCACCAAATCGTCGACGGGCCTGCAGAACAAAACGTTTTACTGTGAGACGTGTGATGTGCATGTCAACTCCGAGACTCAGCTAAAACAGGTGAGAGCGATGGAAACTGAAAAGTGAAAAGTGAACTGAATCATGGATGAACTGAGATGAATTGAATTCTTGTATAAATAATTTTCGTGTTAAACTCAAGCTGAAACATTAAAAGTGTTAATTAGTGTATGTGAGTGGAGTGAAGGGAATGCCAACACTAATTACAATGTTATGAGATTGTACTGTAATTGTTCTGTTGCTATGCCTGTGAAGCTTTCTTCTGTAGGTTTCCAATAGTAATGGTGGCAGATTTACCACTCCAACGTAATTTTTGGAACGATGGATCTTTGATTTTGCACAAAGTAAACACCGGCAGGCTTCTCATTTTCAGCTTAAGACCGGTGATTTTGTTAGCTCAACTGACTGGCTGTCGCTAGCAGATTCTATAACCTGCGGTTAGCTAGCAGTAGCTAATTAACTGTCACTAACTATGCCCATGATGTTGTGCTAAAAGACTGAAGCTAAAGCTAAGAAGCTAAATCAGCATCCTCACCAGTTGATGGTCCATGTAGAAGATAAATAAAGATAAAGCTTTGGTCTTGTCTTGCAGGGCACAGCCAGTTAGTTTTACAGCATATGAAACACTGGAGTAATTAAAATGTTTGTTTCACTTTTACAAAAGAAAAGGCTTTGAGGATGAGGACTAACCACAGTCTTTGACAAACATAATGCTAGCTTAGCTAACGAGTTTGGTAGAGGTTGTTGGAGTGTAAACTTCCCCAAACTAAATATTGACATAGTAACCGAACTTTAATTCCACAAAATAATAGTTAGCTTTTGATACGCTGCAATTAGGAATAATGCTACGTCACTAGGTAGTAAGCAGCACATGCTAACAATATAAGATGATGATAGATCAGATAAACACACTGTTTAATCCATTCCTTACAATTTTGCTTTTGTGATTTTGTTTTTTAAAGTCTAAAGACTAAATACGTTTCCCTCCAAACTATTCTAAAGTCTAGTTATGGCTGCTAATCTATGTCTGGACAGTCATCGCTAAGGGGAAGGGTTTACAATACTTGAGCCGTGGAT